TCGTAGTAGTAATAGAACAAAGAAATGTCTGGATCATTGACATTGCAATTCCTGGGAATGCCAGGGTTGAAAATGAAGAATTGGAAAAAAAAATTTAAAAACAGAGATTGGGCAATCAGTACATCTCGCTTATGGATGAAACATATCTCATTGTTCCCCATTGTAATCCAGGCTTTGGGAACAATATCAAGAAATTTCACACAGTATTACAAGCAGTTACAGATTCCAGAAATAACATCATCAGAGCTACAAAAAAACAACATGAGGAACAATATATAGACTACATCGATATTTAAGAGATACTTACGGTTTTGATTAAAACTTGTATTTGTTATGTAATACCAGTCAATGTTTTTATGATTTGGATTGACTGTGCCTGGTCTTTCTGGATGATGATGATGATGATGATGATGATGATGATGATGATGATGATGATGGTGATGATGATGATGATGGAAAACCAGCAACAAAGTAAAAGATTGTTATGCCAGGAAAACTGTTATTAAAATGGCTAGGAGGATAAGATTTTCACCTGGTGAAATAAAAATTTTCACCTGGTGCCAGAAAGGTTAATGTGGGAACCAGATGAGTCTCACGGAGGTAGACAGGTCACAGATAGGATTCCACCACTGAAAAGGCACTCCTTATCTAGGCACATCCATTTATTATTGTGATATTTTGTAGCACAATGATTTTAGCTATTGTACATTCCTTGGGATTTTAACTATCATATGCTGCCTTGAAATACATATATGCCTTACAATGATGAGATGTAAATCATTATAGGAACTTTAAAAACTGTTGGATACCTCAGTGCTGTGGTTGACAGTTTGATTCCCCAGAGTGCCTTCTTGACAGGGGCTGGATTCAATGAACCATATTGCCCCTTTGAGCTCCATAAGTTCTATTATCATTGTCATTATCATTATTTTAGAAATAGGAGCATTTATCAATATTGCAATGCATCTCCATGAAACATTATGCCCTGTAACACCTTAAAGACTTAGTAACATTGGTCATTAACAGCCATGGCTATTTCCTGCTTTAATGAAAGATCAGCAACATGAAAGAGGGTCTCTTTTTTCCATGTTTCATGGCATTTTGTTGACTGCTGAAAGGAAGCCTCTAAAACACAAATGAGTCATGATTACAAAAGAGATATGCAAAAGCATTTCATGATTCTGTCATGTTCTCTCTTTTGTGTAGCTTTTTTTCATCCTTTCCCATCCAGCAGCATCATGAGTGCTGCTATCAGCAACCAGTGAGAATATATGGGGGAGTGGGCTTTTGAATCTCTAAAAGGACCTAGATTGGTTGGAACCCGGTAAGGGGTGTTCTTTGATGTAATTGTTCATATGGATGGGACTACTGTGTGCCGCTGAGCTCCTGGTACCCTCTATCTTGGTTTGTGCTGCCTGCCTCTGTGCCTCTATATTGAATCCTTCTTTTGCTATTTTTCTTCATTGTTTAGGGTATATTTTGGTTGGGAATGCTTTATTTGCTTCTGTGTTGGGGTGTAAGAGTGGAATGTGTGACTGTGGCAGTGTGGGTATATGCTGTTATTGGTTGTACTGTTGCCTCCTTTTGGATGATATCAGTTTTCTAGTGCCATGCCCATCCTTTTAAAAATAGCTCTAAAGGGTTGTGTAGGACTTTTGGAGTGCTGGGAGAAACAAATTAGGAAACACAAAACAAATTACCTATAAGAGGTTTTCCTTTTTGTATAAAACAAAAGGTCTGGAGCACAAAAAATATGATAATGATAGAGGCATTCCTCTGAAAGTAGCTGAAATGAAACTAATAAGAAAATCTTTGCCATGCTCATCACTAATCATTAACACTGCCACTAGCATTAACAGTAGAGTTGGCTTCCCAGCATAGATTGTGTGATGATCGCCCAACGTTACTCATGCCATTCATAGTCATGAGCTGATTTGCATGAGCCTGTGAGAGGACTGGAGAGGCGGAGTCAGCAGCTACATGAGGTTTGGCAGGAGAAGGAGGAGTCAGATAGGGCTGGTTAGTCATAGAGAGAGAGGGAACATACTGAGAGAGATAAAACTGTTTAAGAAAATAGGTAGAGAAGGTGGTAATGATATAGCAAGAGAAAAGAGTATGTACTGAGAGAACTGTTGATGATTTGCTTGTATATAATGTTTATCTGAGAAACTTTTGTTATTATTCAGTCTGCTTCACTTCAATAAGTTCTGTTTCTGCTCACAAGTCAAGTGTTCAGACAAACATTATTTATAGTGTGGATTGAGGTAATCCACTGGTGGCAGTGATAGGAAAACGCGACATGAGCCTTTGTGAGGGAAAGACAAGCAGGGGCCACAAGGGCGAACGCCATAGATGGTTATCCTCTACAATGGAGCTTCAATCTTCAAATTTATTTATTTATTTATTCATTCATTCATTCATTCATTCATTCATTCATTCATTCATTTATTT